TTTTGTGCGACGATCGGCCGAAACGTTTATAAATAGCAGAAAAGTGAAAAAAATTTCGTCCACGTTAGCCCGCAATTCTGAACCGATTATGAAAATTCAAAAACCGTTCGAAAGATATTGATTGGGAATCGTGCTGAATAGTTTTTGGTAAAGATCGGCCGGGCCGTTTACTTGTAATAAAATATTAAAAAAAAAAAATTTTGACGATTTTTATTATTATTTTTCTGACGGTAGATACTATAGTCTTCTAGATCATACTAAAATATTACGGCCCTATGACAATTGGTTTAACTTTGAAAATTCGTCAAAGTTTGCAAAAATTAGTATCGTTTTTTGGCATTTGTCAAAATTAGACTTTTCATCGACGTTTTCTCAAAAACGCCTGAACCGATTTCAGAAGTTTAAAAGCCATTTGATGTATTTCAATGAGGACTATCGTTTGTCAGTTTTGTGCGACGATATGCCAAGCCGTTTCTTTGTAATTTGAAAAAAAGTGTTAAACTTTTCGTCCACATTTAGGCTCATCCTACCGAACCGATTTTAAAAAATCAAAAACTGTTCGAAAGATATTAGTTGGGAAAATCTACCGAGCCGTTTTCTTGTAATTAACAGTTGAAAAAAAAATTTAAGCCGATTTTTATGGATTTTTTTAGCGATATATATCATGGTCTTATAGAAGTTACTATAATATTACGGCCTTGCGACAAGTAGTTTAATTTTAAAAATTCATCAGTTTGTGAAAATGAGTAGTTTTTTTAACGTTAGCTAAAATTAAAATTAGACGATTTCCTTGGTATAACAATATAGTACTTGGTCTTAATAAACATACTAAATCATTAAAATCCTACGGAAACTGATTCAAATATAATAATTGTTGATTTTTGAAAAGTTGCTTTTTGAAAATACTCCGAGTTAACGTTCACTCATAAATTAATTTATTTTTTATTGATTAAGTCGATTATTTACACATATCGGGAGGTTCATGTAACTTGCCTCAAGGCTGAATACCAATACCAACTAGTTTTTCTTTTTTTCGAAATGGATGGATTGGATGGATTTTTTTTTGTATATTGAAAATAATTCAGATTTTATTTTTAATTCTGACTACAGTTCTAATATACTTTAAACAAATAATTTAAACTTTGCAATTCAGTTTATATAATTCTTATAAATATTTATTATAATAAATATTTGAAATACATGATAATCTTTTTGAAAACATTTAATATTCCTTGAACATTTCGTTACGGTATGGGAAGTTCCAGCAATTTGCCTTAAAGCACGATGCCATGCGCCCACTAGTTTTGCTATTATGTATTATAAAACTTGTGTATCACTGCTTTTATTGGGTGCGGTCGCGTCTGCAACAGACGTTCAAAGCTATATTTTCTATTTCTCTCCGAGTTCGCAATTTTCCATTTGCAAAACTCGCCGAAACTTATAACAATCGCCAACCCAACTTTCAGCAGCTGAAAGCCCCGAAAGCTCGTAAGACCAGAGATCTCCCATCCCCGCGAATGGTTGCTTGATCTAAATTAACGTTCTATCCACGTTCTTCATTAATTAATTTCTCATTAATACGCCGTATAATGTCGGCGGGAAAATGAAATATTAATAAACGAGTCTCGTATGTAGTTGATCGAACTTATGTAGAAAATGTTTGAATTTTATGAATATTATATAGTAAAAGTGCGTTAGTCTAGCACACTCGGCCTAGTTATCGGACTATCGAAAATTCGAGAATAATTATTAGGATGAAAATGAAATTGCAAAAACAGTACAAAAAGAAAACAATCCTTAAAGGGGCTGGCAATAGAGTAGTAGTTAAGGTGGCTCCGGGCTCAATCTCCTAGGTATAGATGTATTAGATGTATTAGATATACAATTCACAATTTTACAATTAAAGAACAAAACAACCAAATATAAAATACAAATAAAGGAATGCTAAAATAATTTAATTTTGTGTCTTGATTTTATGAAACTTGATATTACGTCTTCGTTTTAGAGCATCTTCAAAAGTTGATGTCCTGTATATCCATTGATTCGCAGAAATTATTGAAAAGTTTAGACGCTTTTCTGAAAAAAGAGCAGTATCAGAGACGAAGAAAAATATTTCACAGCTAAGTAATACTCAGTTATAGCCAAAAATTGCTGTATTTGTAAGATATCACATATAATTAGTAACAATGGATATTTATAATATGAAGGGGATGGTACCACTGTATTTCTTGAAATCAAAATTAGACATCTAGATATATAGAGACGATACATAGGGCATAGATATATAGAGTATAAATAGTAGAAAATAAAGAAATGGACTTGATTGAGCGTAGAAAACCAGTATTGAAAATAATTTGAATTTTAATTTTTGTAACTTGTTTCACATATGAAGTTTTGATCACAATTTAATAGTAATTTTTAATGGTCTATCGGTCTATCCTTTATATAATCTTTATTAAAGGTCAAAAATTTTATATGACTGTAGCCCTCATATAAATTTTATATGACTGTAGTCCTTCTTAGAAACGTTAAGGTGGGGATTAACCCATAAAAGGTTGAGAAACACTGATTTAGAGAATCTTCAACTTTCCATACGTTTTAGTGAATGTTATTTAATTGCACAATAAGTATTATAAAATATAATAGTTATAATAAATATAATTTATATAATTGGAAATGGAAGGTAATACTAAAACTGTCAGTAATTGTGGATTAATTAACTATATTTCATGTGAAAAATTTGGAATTTAGACAGACATACCCATTGCTAGGAGCTAGTTGTAATATCTAGGGCGGCAAGTAACGACAAGAAAACGAGAATAATACATCTGATGATTTACTTTTACTTCTTATAAAAAATAGACTTGTTTCTAAGCAATTTTCGTAATTCGACCTAAACTATAATTAATACAACTATAATACATAGTGTCTCCTTTAATACAATTTACACATTTTTGGTATAACTAGCTCCAAAGTTTTGGTTCAACTAACTACAGGAGTGTTTTTTTTATATTATACAAGATAACTATTAAAACAATTTAGCAAACACAAGAATAGTTACACATTTTAAAAGTTTGATTAAATTTAAGCAAACTAAGATTTTTAAAACTGAAAATTTGTCGATTTTATAAACGCAAACCGAAATTTAGCGATGATAATTTTAAACAGAATGTTTAAATTTATCATCGTTTACATGTCCAATGGAAACAATAAAATATTTTAATATTATTAACTTCTGTTAGGGTAAGTTATAGTAATCGCAAAAAAATCGAATGTTTATATACTTTTACGTTTCAAAGGTTTTTGAACATTTTGGCATACCTTAGAAAACATGGATGTATGTGTGTATGTGAGTGTGTGCGTGTGCGTGCGCGTGCGGATACAAATTCGAGTGCGAAGTCAACGATTTCGGGAACACCGATCAGCCGATTTGAATAATTCAAAAAACATTCGATTCGTATTGATAAGGAGACGTGCTGATTAGTTCTTGGCGAAGGCATGTCTAGCAGTTCCGGAGATACGGGGCAAAACGTGCCAAAAAACGGTAACTCAGTTTTTAAGAGAACGGAGCGTCCAAATTTAATAACTCAAAAAATATTTTACTTGTATTGAGAAGATGAAGAACTGATTAAATGTTTGGAAAGGCAGACCCAGCGGTTATGGACTCTGAATAAAAATAAGTTAAAAATACGTCATTTGGCGGGCAAAAATGTTTTTTATTTATATTCTCTATCTTTTGT